CTTTAGTAGTCATACCTTAGTGTAGCCCCTTCCCACACACTGGCCAGGGTGACCGATATGCAAAAAGCATAGGTCATCTCTAAGATAGGTAATAAAAGACACCGTGGCTTTCATCTTGATGGCACACCCCCTCTCAAGTCATCAGCTCTGGCGAAGCCAGCTGCCCTGTTGTGAGTTGCCCACAGAGTGCCCCGTAGAGGCAAACCAAAGTCTCCAGCCAGTAACAGCTAGCAAGCACATCAACCAGTCCTGGTCAAGCCTTCAATTAATTAATTTTTCATTAAAATGCACGATGCATGGGCGCCTGGGTGACTCAGTGGGTTAAAGCCTCTGCCTTCGGCTCAGGTCTTGGTCCCAGGGTACTGGGATCAAGTCCCGCACTGGACTCTCTGCTCAGCGGGGAGCCGGCTTCCCTCTCTCTCTCTGCCTGCCTCCCCCTCTCTCTCTGCCTGCCTCTCTGCCTACTTGTGATCTGTCAAATAAATAAATAAAAATCTTAAAAAAAAAGTTATAAAATGCAAGATGCTAACATCTGGTAGGTTGAGGATTGTTATTTTTAATACCTTAATAAATACTTTTTTTTTTTTTTTAAACTTTCTCAGCTTCAGGAGAAAGCTTAGTCAGTTAAGCGTCTGCCTTCAGCTCAGGTCATGATCCCAGAATCCTGGGATCCAGCCCTGCATCAGGCTCCCTGCTCAGCAAAGAGCCTGCTTCTCCCTCTCCCGCTCCCCCTCCTTGTGTTCTCTCTATCCAATAAATAAATAAAATATTTCAAAAAATAAAGATAAACTCTCAGCTTTAAGGTCACATGTCATAGTGGGAATAAATACAACTCAAATCCACAAAAACTCCTGGGGTACCTGGGTGGCTCAGTCTGTTAAACATCTGGACACTTGACTTTGGCTCAGGTCATTTTTCTCAGGGTTGCGAGATCAAGCCCCATGTTGGGATTTTCTCTCTTCCTCTCCTTCTGCCCCTCCCCTGCCTCTCATAATTTTTTTTTTTTTAATTTTAAGATCCTGGGGGTCCTCCATCATTTCTAAGAGTGTAAAAGTTTGAGACAAAAAGGTTGAGAACTGTTGTTTTATGTCTACATCACTTACTGTGACAGTTTAATAATATACATGAGCACCATTTATTGCTTATCCTTTAGAAAAATTTTTCATGGAATTTGATCTAAACAACCCAGTTACATACTTGGCTCCCAACACACAGCCGGCTCAGCTCCATACATTCCTTTCAAAGGTAAGCTTGCAACCGGGGTAAATGGAGAAATAGTTCAAGCTGGCTTAGGGCGCGGCTTGGTTCTAACCCATGTGGTCTTACCTATTCCTCCATTTAATCAGCAGATGTGAAACACACATGGATAGCACTTTTTTTAAGCCCCTAGGGGGTGAACCCGGAGATACCGCAATACCAGGTCCATGTGTGGAATGCATGAAGCAAATCCCTCCTCTATCTCCCTGTCATCTATTTTATTGTATTCTTTAAAAAGATTTTATTTATTTAACAGAGAGAGACACAGCGAGAGAAGGAACACAAGCAGGGGGAGTGGGAGAGGGAAAAGCAGGCTTCCCGCTGAGCAGGGATTTCAATTCGGGACTCGATCCCAAGACCCTGAGATCATGACCTGAGCCAAAAATAGACGCTTAACCACTGAGCCACCCAGCAGGAACCCCTCCCTGTCATCTAATTTAAAGATGAATAAACCAAACTTCAGTCACCTCAATTCTGTCATTACGCGTGTGTGCCCACTGATTTTTCCTTAGTGTTTAAGATTTAAAGCAGCCAAACGGCACAAACTGCCACGTGTAATATTTTGTTTGGTCATCACCCATTTTAATTCTTACCTAAAATAGTTCATCCAATTTTGGTATTGCCACTTCCAGTGGGCGACGGGAGAAGAATTAGGCACAAACAAGTCAGCTGCAAGAGATTGAGAGCAGGGGACAACAGTCGAAGAGGACTGCTGCCCCGAGCAACTCCACAGTCTCAGTTTTATTGGATAGAAACAATAGCCAACAGAAGGACTGATGAAGGTCAAACGTTAGTCACACGTCTTGCAGACAAGCAAGGAGGAGGATAAAGTTTATAGTTAACCAAGCATATTCAAAGGACACACCTAACTAACAACGGGCGTTTTTGGATGAGAAAGGAGCGATAAGAAAAGGGAAGCAGGTGGTTTTCGTTCCACCCTAAGCTGACCGGGCGTTCCCGGCTGCCCAGCTTCTGTGAAGGGGCGGCGTTCGGCCCTGAGCGAGCCGGGCATCCCCAGCTGCCCAGCTTCACGGTCGTATATTGTCCTTCTCCCCAAAGACCTGTTGCCAGTATATGTATTTCTTAAGGCCATATCTAAATGTGCTTGGTAACTAGTAAAATCCTCCAGGGGTTACAGTTAAAGTAACAAATTGTTCCGAGGGGCAGCAGCAGGTATCTTTAGGAATTACAGTTTACTTCAATTGTCTTTAAATGGAAGAAGCAAGAAAATATTATTATTACATGATTATTACTACAAATAATTCTGTCCTCTAGAGGAAGGGGTTGTTAAAAATAAGTAGCTAAGAGGAGCAGGTGGGTGGCTCAGTCCATTATTCATCTGACTCTTAAGCATCGGGCTCTTGATTTCAGGGTTGTGAGTTCAATCCCCACGTTGGGCTCCATGCTGAGGGTGAAGCCTACTTTAAAAAAAAAAAACAAAAAACAAACAGCTGGGAATGAAAAATGCTGGAGTTACCACTTCTACAAGAGGTGAGGACAGCTGTGTTCCTAGTACCCAGCACAATGCCTAGCAAATAGCAGATTATCAAACATTTGTTGAGTGAAATATTACAAATAAAGTGTCCCAAGCAATTGAAAAGCATCAGCTTTAGTCTCAAATGGAGCTGAATTCCAATCTGCTCCCTCCAATGCATTCTTTGGGCAACTTCTTTCCTCAATTTCCACAACTGTAGAGTGGACATAATAAGAGAATATTCTCCACAGGGAGAATCTAGAGTCAATCTAGAACAGGGTCTACACCTAATCAAAAAGTGATCCACAGGGGTGCCTCAGTGGCTCAGTGGGTTAAGCCTCTGGCTTCGACTCAGGTTATGGTCTTAGGGTTCTGGGATCGAGCCCCCACATTGAGCCCTGCATCGGGCTCTCTGCTCAGCAGGAAGCCTGCCCCCCCCCCCCTCCCCCCCACCCCTCCCTTAAAAAAAAAAAGTGATCCACAGTGTATGAAATGAGATGAATTCACCAATTTACTGAGTTTAGCACCTGACACTGTAACGATCGTTTCTGGGGTTGGCAGCATGTGTCAAGTGAACTAGCCTGTTCTAGAGGACAAAAACAGAAATACCCATTTCAAAATCAGACTTTTTTTTTTTTTTTTTTAAGTAGGCTCCACGCCCAACAGGGCTCAACTCACTCTGAGATCACCACCTGAGCTGAGATTAAGTGTGGGGTGCCTAACCCACTGAGCTACCCAGGTGCCCCCAAATCACACATTTTCTTAATTTAAAAAGAAAGGAAGAAAAAAAGAGAGAGAAAGAAGGAAGGAAGGAAGGAAGGAAGGAAGGAAGGAAGGAAGGAAGGAAAGGAAGGAAGGAAGGAAGCAGAGAAAGAAAGAAAGACAAACTAGAGGCGTCTAGCTGGCTCAGTTAGTGGAGCACTGGGACTCTTGCTCTCTGGGTCCTGAGTTTGAGCCTCACCTTGGGTGTAGAGAGTACTTTTTAGAAGAATCATAAAGGAGAGCCTGGCTGGCTCAGTGGTTAAGCCTCTGCCTTCGGCTCAGGTCATGATCTCAGGCTCAGTTCATGATCTCAGGGTCAGGGGATCAAGCCAGGGTCGCCTGCTTCCCCCTCTTTCTCTGCCTGCATCTCTGCCTACTTGTGATCTCTCTCTGTCCAAATAAAATCTTCAAAAAAAAAAAAAAAAAAAAAAGAGTCGTAAAAAGGCAAACGAAAGTTTAAAAGAATTCGTTGAAAGAAACGTTAGGTCCCCCCATGGCCCCGCAGGCCAGCAGCCTTAAGATCAGGGCTATAACCATAGCAAACAACATCAGTTAAAACCAAGACCTCTTGGGCCTTCCAGCTGTCCATGTGTGAAGGAAAAGTCAAACCTGCCAAGGCCTTGCCAGTTTTAAATTCGTTGGCACCCAGCCTGATGACGGGACTGCTCAGCCACACATTAAGAAACGAGGGGTGGGGGGATGCTGGGGAAGGAGAGGGAACATGGAATGAAAGCCGGAACACTCCTGCACGCGGGGCTGCCTCCCTTCCCCTCGCCACATCCTCCGTAGAACCCCGGCTTCGTGTTAATGCTTATAAAGCATTCATCATCGCACGAACACTCTTTTGCAAGATTTGCAAGATGACTTCCTTGTCAGTGTTTAATAATGGCTCTAATATTGAAAAATACAAAGAAAATAAACTTTGGGGGTAAAAAGGCACAGAATGTATTTTGATCCCTTTTTGTAGGCTATAAAAATTAAAGCAGACTTCCACCTCTCCTTGCCCCCCCCCCCCCCCCCCCCGCCCCCGTGACTGTTCCTCTAGTCCTCGGGCTCCTTAGCTCCAGAGTTACGGAACAGACGCCCACTCTGCCTTGAGGCTGCGCGCCCCGGGCGTCTGAAACCCGACTTTCTAAACTCCCCGACTGCTCCGGCTGTTTTCTGAGCGACCTCGGCTTCCCGTCCGCCGGGAGCCCACAGTCCCCTGGTGGAGCGCCCGGGTCCCAAGCCGCGCCCCGCAGACCGATTCCCACGCTCGGGACACCCGAGTGACACCTTCCCTGGGACCAGAGGCAACCTCCATGTCCAATTTTCCGACTGTAAAATCAGGGTTCCCTAGGATGCGGCGATCGATAAAGAGCAGGGGCTCGAAACGGCGTCCCGTCCCCTTCCCGCCGCCCTCCGTGGGGGGACAGGTCCGGCTCAGTCCGGAGACCTGCGGCGTCCCCGCGGCGCGCCCATCGCCCAGGGCCCACCGCCCACTTTTCTCTGCTCCCCGGACACTCACCGGCACCAAGTCATCCCGAAACTGCCGCCCGGCGCTGGCCCGGCCACCCTGCGCTGGCCCGGCCACCCCGCCGACTGCCCCAGGCAAATTCCTGGGAACTGGGCAGGTGGAGGAAACGAGGAGAGTCCCGGTCGGTCCCCTCCCACGTCGCCGCCAACCCCCGCCAATCCGCCGCTCCCGCCGTGCGCCCAGCCGGATGCCGGTCCGCCAGAGCGTCGGTGTCGTCGTTTGGGGACCCCCGAGCCCCACACGGGCCCACGCCCTGGGGATCTGGAGAAGGTGGGGAGAAGGCCCACAGCCCCCGCTGGTGATACTTGTTAGGGACTTTCTCGGCGCTACACGCTTTATTTGCGTTGTGCCACTTATTTGTCACAACGGCCCTAAGAGGAGAGTGAGTACAGTCATTAGCCCCACTTTTAGGATGGGAAACTGACGCAAAGTGGGGTGACCAGCCAGGAGGTGGAGGGGCTGGGGTGGGAACCGCATGGGGGGACTGGGCAGCGCCCCCACCTCCCCGGCGGGTGGAGCATTTTCTATCCCGAGCCGGCCAGTCTCCGCCGCGTCGGGGCCCAAGTGGACACAGGGGCCCTCTCTGTCGGGGACCGCGTGGATGGAGCGCGTACCCCGAACCCCGAATAGCCAGGGGCTGGAGGAGGCGGGACAGGAGCGCGGTCACAGCGACGCTCGTTCATCCCTCCTCCTGAGGCGGTCGGGGCGGGTCCCCGTTGCGCATCCAGAGGCCGAGCGCTCCCGCTCCAGGCTGCAGCGTCGCCCGCCCCCACCCCCGACCCTTCTCTCGCCATCTTCCAGCCTGTATCTGGGACCTCTTCTTCTCCTCGGCTGATAAAGGGACTTCTGTCTCCCCCTCACGTAGCGACACAATCCGTGCGGTCCCCTAGTCCAGCCTCCAGACCACCGCAGCCCCTCCCTCTTCCTTCGGTGGAAGCTGGGTGCACGCGAACCCCGAATCGCGGGGCCCCGCCGACAGCTCACATATCCGTTAGCCAGGTTTTGCCTCTGCCCCGCCTCCATCCCTCCCCCACCCCCACAGGGACTGTTCTGGCACGAGACGCGGGGGTGGGAAGCTGGAGTGGGTTGAATCCCCCTAACACACCTGTGCGGCCACAAGTGCCCGGTGCATTTCAGATGAAAATATGGCAGGACCCTTTTCACGACCCACGCGCAGCGCTGGGCACTGTGGTTCAGCAGTGGTTCAGCTCCAGTGGGCCTGTATTGTGTTTTCACCATGACCTAGCCCGCATTGCAAAACCTACCTTTTTTTAAGTAAACAAAACAATAGCAGGCAAAGTCTTGCCAAATGACTGGTGTTTCTATTTTGATATAGGATGTACTTCATTACACCCTGTTGTGTCCCAAAAGGGATTTAAGACAGATGTATACAATACAAGGCGGTGCAAATTAAAAAAAAAAAAAAAATGGTACTCCAATCAATCAAACCAGGTTAAGTCCAGAAAGAGTAGAAAGAAATGCCAAAGGGAGCTACAATTTGGGTACAAGTGAGTCCCAAGTTCAGTTCCCAGCTTCTCCGCAGCCAGCAGAAAAGATAACCTTGCCTGAGGGGAGTACTGAGGTAGCAATACAGATGACTGCTTTCTAGAAACAGCTGGGAAAGGGATGTTCTGCTTTCCTGGACAAGACTAATCAGTAAAGCATTCTCCTTAACCCTGTGCGGGTAGTACAGTGACCTCATTGCTTACAAAAGACTGTCACATACATTATCCTCCTTCATTCAACCCTTGTGATAATGCCCAGCGCTGCCTTTCGGATGTGAAACCCAGCCCAAGAAAGATTTCATGATTTGTTCAAACTTTTGTGGCCCATGATGGAGCTAGGACCTGCTCCCAGGAGCTGGGTCTATAAAGGGGGGTCCGGGCTGGCTTTGCTGTACCCCCCTGCCTCGCCAGCTCCGCCTAAACAGGAGGACTTTTTAAAAGATTTTATTTATTTATTTGACACAGAGAGAGACAGCACAAGTAGGGGGAGCAGCAGGCAGAGGGAGAGGGAGCAGCAGGCTCCCTGCTGAGCAGGAGCTCGATCCTGCTGGTCCTGGGATCAAGGCCCAGGACCTGAGCCGAAGGCAGACGCTTAACAGACTGAGCCACCCAGGCACCCCTAAACAGGAGGACTTTTCTCAGGACTCAGAAATGGGGTGTGGGTTCATTCAACCATAACTTCTGCCTGGCAAGTTAGCTAAGTGAGGTCGTGTTTGCTGGGTTTCAGCCCAACCAGCCAGGAACTCTAACACCAAGCTTTCCGTGGCGGAAGCAGGCTGTGGTCCCTGGCTGGTGTTCGCTGCTGCCCTGAGGGGTAGAGAAGAGATGGCCCCAAACCACCACTTGGAGCACGGATGGGTGGGTGGTCGGTCGGGCTGGTGTGCATCTCACTCCAGATGTTGCCTGGGGTTGATCTGGGGATAGCCTCTCCCTGCGGGTGACCTCAGGCTTCGTCACTGTGGCCGGTTACTATTTACCACCAGGACGTGACCTCCACGTCTCCCTGGCTGTGGGCCCGGAGCAGGCTACCACTTGAACAAACTGGTAGGTTGTTAAGTAATTAAGTCACCTCTGTGCTTTGTCATTCCAGCCACTCCCTGGGCCCAGGACAAACATCTCTGCCATTGGTGTCACTTGGCCAATGGCCAAACTCTTTATCTTTGATAATCAGTTTCTTTTCTGCTTGTCCCTTGGGGAAGAAGCTTGGAGTGGCCGGCAAGGACCTCACCTGCATCCGGCAGATCCTGGTGTCCTATGCAAGCCTTCTCAAAGGCGTTCTGTGAAAGACTGATTCGGCCAGCTCTGCGTCCTGGTCCAATTAAAACAGGCTCTTGGCCAAGAGGAGGGGTGCTCAGCGAGGAAGGAAGTCAGATGATTTCTGACACCCTCCCAAAGTGCTGGTGATTGATAGCCACTTCTTAGCTCCAGGGGAAGGTGACTGGGTCCTATTCATTTTGCAACTCCCAGAGCTCCACACGGGGCAGGGTGGCTCAGAGTAAGTCCGCTGAGTGAATGATTGCCTGGAGCGCTGGGACTGTTTTCTTACCCGAAGGCACTCCTCGCCCCCCTCCCCAAATCCAGCCCTTGCTCATGCTCAATAAATGGGTATTGGAAGAAAAAGAAGTTAGGTGTTCAGGGGACAGAAGGGGTAGGGACGAAACACTCCGATCCTCATTCCCAAATTTCATGTCCCCCGAACAGGGGAGACAAGGAGAGATGGAAGAAAAAGCGGACCATTCCAGATGGGTGGGTGGCAGTTCTAAAAAGAGGGAACTTGCAGAACACAGTCCACTGCAGACAAGAAGCTCTGCGCATCTCCTCCCCAGGCTGGTAGTTTATATGGGCGGGGTGTGGGGAGTAGGCAGGGCTGGCCTGGGTGGCTCATTCATTAAGCTTCTACCTTCGGCTCAGGTCATGATCTCAGGGTCCTGGGATCGAGCCCCTGCATCCCATCGGGCTCCCTGCTTAGCAGGAAGCCTGCTTCTCACTGTGCACTTCCCCCTGCTTGTGTTCCCTCTCAAGCTGTCAAATAAATAAATAAAATCTTTTAAAAAAAAGTTTATACCACAGGGGCCTTTAACTGGGTTTGGTCGCCTGCACTGTTCAGGTGGTCTTTGGAACAGCTCTTGTTGTGGGGGCAGTGCACAGAGCATACATTGCAGGGCCAGGAGAGGGGAGAAGGAACGCCTAATTGCTCAGGTTCAGCCTGAAGGTCAACCAAAGGTCACATCCTCTTGGTCACCTACCTTCTCTAACACATACTTGTCATGATCCCACAGGAAAAGGAAGTGGTATCATTTGCTTGAGACTAAGAATTAAGTTCCGAGGGCACGAAGTTAGACCCTCCAAGGGGGAAGGTCCTCAACAGACTGAGCTAGGATCTCAAGGAGCTGTGAAGGCTGTTCCAGGGCTCACATGCCTTTCCCTCTCCCCCAGAGACTCCGCCACACCCCCATGCTTCTGTTGTCTGGCTTTTACTTTCAACCTCTGGTTAAATGTCACTTCCTCAAAGAGGCCTGTTCCAGACCAGGTCAGGTTCCTCTTCTGGTGTTTCTGTAGCACCCAGGACTTTCTCATGCCTGTGTAGTCACATGTGAGTGCGTGCACGTGTGTATGTGTGTCTGCTGCCTGGGTCCCATGTTCCCTGAAAAGCAGCACCCCTGCCGCTTCCAGTCGGCGAGGGGAGAAGAATTAGGCACAAACAAGTCAGCTGCAAGAGATTGGGAGCAGGGGACAGCAGTCGAAAAGACTGCTGCCACGAGGAACTCCACAGTCTCACTTTTATTAGATAGAAACAATAGGGGCGCCTGGGTGGCTCAGTAGGTTAAGCTGCTGCCTTCGGCTCAGGTCGTGATCTCAGGGTCCTGGGATGGAGTCCCGCATTGGGCTTTCTGCTCAGCAGGGAGCCTGCTTCCTCCTCTCTCCCTCTGCCTGCCTGTCTGTCTACTGTGATCTCTCTCTGTCAAATAAATAAATAAAATCTTTAAAAAAAAAAAAGAAAGAAAGAAACAAGAGCCAACAGAAGGACCGATGAAAGTCAAAAGTTAGTCCCGTGTCTTGTGGACAAGCAAGGAGGAGGATAAAGTTTATAGTTAACCAAGCACATTCAAAGGACTCATCTAAAAAACAAAGGCGCTTCTGGGAAGAGAAAGGAGCAATAATGGAAAAGGGAGCAGGCGGTATTTCGTTCCACCCTGAGCTGACCCAGCATTCCTGGGTGCTCTGCTTCCTGGAAACAGGTGGCATTCGGCCCTGGGCAGGCCGGGCGTTCCTGGCTACCCGGCTTCTGTGAAGGGGCGGCCTTCCGCCCTGAGCCAGCCGGGCACCCCCAGCTGCCCAGCTTCACGGTCGTATATTGTCCTTCTCCCCAAAGACCTGTTGCCAGTATATGTATTTCTTAAGGCCATATCTAAATGTGCTTGGTAACTAGTAAAATCCTCCAGGGGTTATAGTTTAAGTAACAAATTGTTCCAAGGGGCAGTAGCAACCCCTTCTGTTTT